AATATTGTTGTATTTGCATGTTTGAAATTAGAGAGAAGTACATATGCTTCTCCCTGTGTATGTGATGCAGGTTAGGATTTATAAACTCCTGTAGTCTGAGCCCGGCTTAAAGAAATGTCATACTGAGCTTTCTTGTGTACCGAATCATCACCTTCCTTAGACATCCTGGCTGACCTCATAGCTACAGGTGACAGTGAACACATGGTCACAGACAAAAATGTTGCTTTAAATCACTGTGACCGTCAGGGACGCCACAGGAGAGACAGCGATTTATGAGCAGGCAGGTGAATGTCCTTCAAATAACTTTGGGGAAAACGGAGCGTTAGTAGGCGTTGTACGAATATTTAAAAAACTGTACCGAGTACATTTGCTTAGACTACCGAGATACAGACGCTCAAAAGCATGACAAAAGACCCATGGAAACCCTCAGACTGAGCATGCATTGGCCTTGACTCATGCATTATGATTGTGCTTCCTGCTTATGGAGGAGAGCGGCAATAATGTCCCACAGGTTACCTATTTATACCCTCCCCCTAAAAAAGAAGTGCCCTCCACAGCTGAGCGTGTAACTTAGAGTGAAGTGCTTGTGAGCAGGGATCAGTTAAGAGGCTTTACATGTGATGTCACTGTAAGTGCAGTGGCCACAATCAGTCGCCCCTGGGTGACAAACACACAGCAGCCAGCCTCAGCCACTGTATATTCACGTGGTGGAAGAACAAAGTAAACACGGAGTTCTTTCAGCGAGAATTCAACGTGATGTTTTTACTGCTGAGGACTAAAGAGAAGAGAAGTAATGGCATGCTTTATAAGGAGTTGTGAGTCTAATTAATCCAAACCACTGTTCTCTGGATGAAATAAAAAATATTGTTGCAAAATTGTCCACAGAGTACAAGAGGAACTGAAACCCACAACTTCATTCCCCCGGGGACCATGAATGTCTGTACAAAATTTCATGGCAGTCCATCTAATAGTTCTTGAAATATCTCAGTCCGAACCAAAGCGGTGCACTGACAGACTGACCCGTCCTTTCTATCCCTAGAACCAATAAGCGTCTACCAATGTGCTTATTTGTTCTTTTTTTACACTTCTTGGCTTCTTCTGCTGTCCCCATTTTCAAAAGACACAATCATTCATTATGGATTATTTCCCCAAGCATGGCCCACTCACTGAAAGTGTGCATAAAGTTTTGGAAACGCCTCCTGTGCTTACACTATGGATTTCATGGGGGCGCCGTCCCGACGACTTACTTGAACTGTACATCAAAGTCTGTGAGTCTGTGACAGAAAGAGTGGGTGAGACAGACTTTGAGAGAACGAGGAAGAAGAGAGAGATGTGGGTGTGGAAGGAGATGCGCTGGGGGCAGCGACATCATTTATTTCACCGTCCGAGTGATATTGACAAGTCTTCCAAACTAAATAATGTTATTGGAAACATGATTTACATTACACCTCATGCACACTGGCAGGCTAAAAAAATATTTATTTTGGTTCGTATATGCATGGTGGCGTATCCCAAGGGAAACTAAAACTCTATGTTAAACACCACAAACAGAATGTTTAGGGGTCAGAAAAAGGACTGTATCTTTCACTAGTCACTGCTGCACCAGACTGGACATGCTTAAAATAGCATAACATGGATATAGCTTATGGAAGGAAATGCAGACAGATGCCAATTTTCGAGTCACTCTGCCAAATGATTGGTCAAATATGATTTCCGAAACGATTAGGTGGATTATATTTGCATCGGGAAATGCCATGCCATGTTGATTCTTACTGATGATACTATATTGCTAAATATTGCATTTGCATACTGTATGTTTATCCTTTTTTAAATGGATTGGTAATGGTTTTACAAAAGCTATGAGGCACCAGAGAGTATATTTTCTGTTAGCATGTATATGATGGGAACCTCTTTTGATAGTGGTAGCTTTCCACATTAATCTTGCACCCATGCAGAGCACATACATACATACATATATATACATACATTAATGAGCTTGATCTATGTGCCTATTTAACTTTACTAGGACAAGGTGTTCAATCATCCCTATTCAGAGGCAGCATTCACATTTCACTGACATGGTATAAAGTGGACACTTTAGGTAGATAGGTCAAACAAACAGGGTTTTCATTCAGGAGACTGTATGAAACAAAGACAAAGCTGATTTTTTTACTTACTAAATAATGCTACATACGAAACTTACGCAAAAAATATTGTTATTTATAAAATTGTTATTGAGTGAAAATGTGTTGCAACCCAGATGTTGATGATTCAGCGTAAACACAAAGAATAACATGAAAGACAATTCATGCATTACACATTATTCATATTTACAATTATACAACACTGTCTCCGTGTTCACACAAAATCCCACTAAGCCACACAAAAACATTCCCGTCACTCTTCAGTGATACTACATGGCAGAAGGCAATGGTGAAGACAGATATTTGACAATATTCATCTATCTTTTAACCTCAGCAGTGCAAAAGGCCTACAGCCAACTTGGCACAAAATGCTGCAATAAATATTAAAATGCATGTGCGATAATGGCAGGCAACAGATTAATTCAATCCATGTCCACACTGGGCAATGGGTTTTCCAATAATTATATGATCTGACCAAAGAAAATGTGCTAACGCGCTCTGGGAATTAGTGTGATGATAGTGACTTCAGCGCACTTCAGGTAAAACGTGGACAGCAGACTGAGATGAGTAAATTGATGTTTTAACCTTCTGTTAACGGTAAACTGAATGACTGAAGCTTCTTTTTGCCAGCAGACAGATGAGACACAATATTCAGCTGCTACAATTATCATAATATTGGTGCTATACGACAAATCTAACTGGGACTAGAGGCAGTAAACTTGAGAAGTTTTCAGCCTTCAGCTCTAAGACAGCAGAACTTCATGCTGCCGAGCAGAACACATATTTTTCATGTCTTTCCCTTCTGGACCAATGATGAATGACTGCTGTAAAGGATCTGAATAAGAATTGGAGATGTGTGTCTGTTGTTACCAAGAACAAGAGCATGTTGAATTTAGAAAAATCGACAGTCTCTCAGTTCATATTTTTATTCGAATTCTTTCATTTACTGGCGCACCAACCACGAGTTGGTGCCATTAAATGGTTAATATGCTACAGGGGCATGTAGCTCTTAGCGATTGTTAGTCAGCACAGTGTGTTTCCTTATTAGCTGGTGGATTTTAACATTATGCAAGACAAAAGAAATAAATAAGTACATTAGTCTTTTCTCAGAGGAAGAAAGCCGTGGGATGATACCACTGTTTCATGCAATAATTATCTCCGCAGCTCAGCAAATTGTTTTGTGCTTTCCTCTGATGTTCCGTTGAATACGGTGAAAATAGAAGTGTAATGAGGGGTAGAAAAATAAAACGTCTTTGCACTTCAGAAACATATGTTTCTATACTTCAGTGACCTAGCTTCCGCTGATATGTATATTTCATTTGGTGTAATTTAACTCTTTGAATGCTTACTGTCAACATCTTAATTCAAAGTCTGTATTATCATTACAGTGTCCGTAGTGATATAGTAGTGGCAATATTTGTACCTGCTTTCTAAAAAAAGAATTTGATTGACATCTTTTGGCCACATGTCCAGAAAAGATGACAAAGATGATACATATGGCATTGATTAACTGAGGTTTGGAAAGAAAATAGTTAAATGATTATGTAGTGATCTAGTTAAATATTTCTCTCTGAGAAACCCCAAATCAGTCAGTTGACTCAAGGCTGCATTCAGAGTTTCAAGACTAAAGAAATAGGCTACTTACTCCTTTTTACATTCCTTGCCATTGCCTTATCTCAATCATTTCTATTGAAACCCTGTCACAGCTTTGAGCAGATACCAGACGTTGCCTTCAGGCAGACGGTTCAGAATGCCAATCTGCAGGCTAAATCGGTACAACAATGAATTAATTCCATCCTCCATTAAAATATGAAATAGCAGCAAGTAGTATGATTTTATTGGGGATTAATATATTGTGGCTTGATTATGTATTATCTGTGTTGAACACACTTGGCTTTATTATTCGTAACTATTGTCGACATGTATATTAAGCATGTTTATGCATGTATGATCTATGTTCTATGCGTGCATGTGGACTGTGCTGCTGGCAAGTGTATTGTGTGATGCAGCGACTTGGAGCCCAAGACAAATTTTCCTGCGGGACAAAACATATCTTATCTTATCTTATACAGGACAAATATAAATAGTATTGGATTGTTGTTTTATACTGAATGATCTTTGTTATGTATCCGATCTGTGCTTTACTTGTCAGACATTTACAATGACTATGAGGGGGACTTCAGGATAAAACCTTTGTGAAATTGAATCATGATAACAAGTCAAAGCAGACAGCTATTCCCTGCAAGGCTTAGAGCTAAATGCTACCATGCTGATGTTAAGAAGGCATTACGTTTACAATGTCCACCATCTTGGTTCAGTATGCTAGACTTTGTGGATTACCACAAAACAGTAACAATAAGAAAAAGGCCATTCGTTTTGCAAGTATGTGGTCATAAAAGTCAAAGTTCGACATGCCATGTTATGACGAAGTAGTATGGCCCAATTGAATTCATACTGTATGCAACTGTAGCCTACATACTTTGTAAAGGCATCTGTGGTATTTAATGAAAGTAAAAAGAAAAAGTATGCAATTTGGAACACAGCTCTAGTCTTAATACCTTCATTATTTATATTTATATTTTGCTCACATAGTGCCTATTTTGGGGGTTGGGGGTGTCAATAAAGATGCAATAAAATGTCAGTTCAAAACTGGTCTTTCTCCAAGGCATGTCAGACACACTCGACACTTAGACATTTGTCAAACAACAACGATAAAGCAACACAGACAAATTATGTCTTTTGGTCTCAATCCCTGAGACACTCAAATTGCGCACGAGGCGCGTCATGAATCCGGTAGTGTTCAAGTGGGCTGAGAAGGCGCTGAACTTCCCTCCTCTGCCCCTCCCTCGTCTCCATGAATCCGTGGAGCCGAACACCCCATTCTTACCGTGTGTGCGTCAACGTGCCGTCTCTGCCGCTGCTCGGGACAAAACCGCACGCCGCTGCTTTCATTTTCCAGAGCTCGAGACTGCACGAGCTGGAGGGGGAGCTCGCGCTTTTTGCTGCAAGGGATATCACCCCTGATGGACTTCATATAGGACAAGAATACACCATTTTTAAAATCTGAGAATTACCACGTATAGTAGTTACAAGTGCCGTTTTGTGGGGGGGAAACAACTTGTAAATCCTAACCGATCTCACCGCCGCCGGTTTTAATGTGTTTCATGTGTTTGCGCTCAACAGTGAGGTAGACGGACACGTTTTACGCAAGTGTCGGGTTGTGATTTACCCCCGTGGATGCGGCTGTCGGGGTCGGTGTCTGAGCCCTGCAGGATCCGCCTGTCATAGGGCATCATTATTGCTGTGGCGCTTCACAAGTGGATGAGGAATATTTCACCGGAGATGCTGCTGTTGGTGCAGATATTGTGGTTTTTACCCCTGACCGGAGCGGCTCCTTCTCTGACTAACGAGCAGCTGGACACTGGGGTGGTAAGTTTTAAAAAAAAATCTTTTCTACACGGGGGTAGGAACTTTTGCTACTAATAAGAATGCACATGAAGTTTTTGCACTTGATACCACCACTGACACAGCATAAAGTATAGTGGTGTGTTACCAGACCCCTCTCTCGTAGAGGGCAGTTTGCCCTACTTTTTGAATGTCGTAGGCAAACGCTGTCCTCTCCATACTTGATCTGAATTTCAACACCTCGCAGTTCCATGCGCTAGGGGGGGGGGGGGGGGGGGGGGGGGGGGGGGAGGGGGGCTTGCGGTTTGGATGTGATGGAACATAAAAACAGGAGCCTTTTCTCCAAAGCAACGCAGATCTCTGTAAGGGTTTGCAATAAATACATGCAAATGTATTTGCCTTGGCAGATTATCGACCTCCCCCACAGCATGCTGACATATATCCTGCACTGATGAGTGGCTCACTTCCAGCGCAGTGTGACAAACCAAGCCATAAGACGGTGTCTATTTCCTCTTCTCAGTCATGCCTTCAAAAAGACTTGTCACCTGATGCCAAGTTTGAACAATTAGGCTACTGCATTCAAAATAGGGTTGTTTGAAATGAGAAGTCGTGGAGCAGCAGCTCCTGCTGACCAAATTAAATAAAACAGGCGATGTTATGATAACAAAGTAGAATCACCCCCAATGCACTGTATCCGAGCAAATTAAAGCTATGCAGTGATATTTTCATTGATTGGGTTGACTCGCAGTATATTTCAGCTTTGGAGTTTTAATGAGCACCTGCAGATAAAACAAGTATCTCCTAATTAGTAGCTCTTGAGACAACATCCTAATTAATTGTTTGTTTTAATGCCTCTAATACCAACATGCATTTCTCATTAGGATGGATGGATTCATGTTCATGCTGTTCATTCAACTTCTAGCTCTTCAGTATCTTGTTCTTGGCTCTTTTTTTGGGGGGGGGGGGGGGGGGGGGGGGGGTTATAGAATCTTGATGATGAACCTCTATTAGTAAAGACATTGCTGAGAGGTATTTCTATTGCTCCCCCCTCCTCTAACTCCCTCTGTATCTGTGCTGCCAGGACACAACCTTGGTCTTAGATACTCTTAACTGCAGACGTGAATCGTCCCTCACATGGTGTTGTTTAGGACTTGAGTGCACAGAGTGGAGCTATGTGTCATCTGCAAATTCCATCGGGTAATAGTGAGGATGTACAGATGTAGAAGACAACAAGGGGAGAGGACATATCCCCGGGTGATCAAAGGGGGTTTACAGCATATTACTTGTCTTTAAAAAACAGCATTGTTGTACTTTTGTTCAAATACAAGGTTGCCATGGTTGAATCAAAGACACGGGTCCACAGCTGTAGGTAGATATGCATAAAGCACTGCTAAATACTGTTACAAGTCTTTCATTGATACAAGCAGTTGCTTTAAACTTGTTTTTACACTAGAGATTCAACATGTTTATTGTTGGATGCGAATGCTGTTTGGACAGGCAATCCTTAAAGCTGCCTTGATACCGTCTTATCCTCTATCAAGCTTTGTTTGAGTGTGTGAGCAAACACTTGGCTTCTTGTTCATCCAGCAGAAACAGAGCAGTGTGGGCATCACTGGAGTTCTTTTCCCCACAACACATCCAGTGTAAGTGGGACATTCACTGCTGTTTTGTTCCTGGTTTGGTTCACCAACTTTTGGAGGAAACAACTTTTTTTTTTTTTGCTTTTGAGGTATTCATCTCTGCTCATCAGCAATTTGTTTACTTCTGCCCTTCATCATTTCATGCTGTAGGCCTACAACTGGTTGAGCTCCTTTGCTGAGAGCAGCTGCTCACGTTCTTTTTTTTCTTATAAAACTATAAACCAAAACAATGAAAAGGGGCTTAAAGCTGCTCAGTGCTGAATCCGTATTATCAACGAGATTGGCAGCACAAACAAACCTTTTACATATTATTGGAGAAAAGTGCATTTGGTGTTGACATCCAAGTATTGTTTACTCCAGTTTAAACTAAGAGGATTTCTTCTTTAGGTGTAAGATTGAAAAATTAAATGCTATTGAGTTTATTCTGAATAGCTTTCACTTTTCAAGCAGTTTTAACATTCTCAAAAATATTTGCTATGATTAATATTTTGATGAAAATGTTTTTTTCCCACCTTAAAAAGTACAAACACCTCTGAAAAGGGGCTAGAAGCACATGCTGTTTCTCCCCCATTGATAACTTTTGAATCTGCCACACACACACACACCACCCGCGCTGTTTGTGCTAGGTTGAGCAGTGCGCATCCAGCTGTTGGAGTGTATTCTGTGCCATCGTTTTGAAGTGAGTGAAACTTGCCTTGTTGCGCCTCGCGTTACGCTAATGATATGAGAAGCTCCACCCTACAAGATGACAGAATTGGTTTCTTAAGTATTTGACGTATGCAACCCAACGTACCAATGACAGTCTCTTAATTCTGAATTAAGAGACTGTCATTGGTGCATTGCAGTTCGAAGGCAGAAATGCTTAACTATGGCGTTGGCTGCTTATTTCGCTCATGACCTGTCTTATAGCATATAAAAAACTCCATTTATACATGTTAACATAGTTGTAAACTTTCAATATTAATTGGAAAGAATCTTAAACACGGATGTGTAAAATCTTTTGAGGGTAAGTCTGCTCATGTGCTGTAAAATAGAGATGTTATGTCTCAGCATCTTTTTACCGCCAATAAGAGTGGAATTCAATAGTTAGAAGTATGGTGGTGACTAATGCTTATTGTCATTGTTTGATTAATCTGCCAATTATTTCTTGATTTTTTTTTTTCTGAAATTTTGTTTTGTCCATAAAATCTCAGAACATAACAAAATAAAATGGCCACAACAGTTTCCCAATGCTCAAGTGACATCTCAAAATGTTTTTTTTTTAGCCAACAAGCTCAAACCCCAACATATTAAATTCACAGTGTTAAAAAACAGAACATCCAAACACTGGAGAAGACTGGAGAACAATAACTGATCTTGTTAACAAAGGCAGACACAGATTGTTCTGCGGTTGTTGGTTCAGTGTAAAAAGGGGTTTAGGGGGACCAAGGGAGTTGGACAGACAGATGGACAGATGAGCAGCCGTCCACAGACGCACTCCTCCCCCGTGACTGCCTGATTGACTTTTAAATAAGACTTCTCCTGCCTTGATGAAATTGCTCTCAGCTGGTGAGAGCAGGATAATTGGTTGTTGAGGGTTTGAGTGGGTTCTTCCATCTCAGCCCAGTTGTGTTCATAAGTGCTATACATTTGGGACTCGGACCACAAAAACAACCTTCTACCCACAGACCCGTGTCCTGATCTCCAGCTCTGCTGCTCCCCGGCCCCATTTCACTCCAGAGCCACGGTGCTGCATCGCGTGGCTTTCAGTCGAGCTTGAGCGCTAAATGTATCTATCTCTCCTTGTAACTACTGTTCACCGTGACTGTAATTAGCTGAACCACAAAACTTTAGCACAGCTCTGAGGCATCAAGCTCCTAGTTTTGCTGTTATATATATATATATATATATATTACTATATATTATATATTACTATATTACTGCTGTGCACCAATTTGGAATTGCAGCATTTTAGGGAACTGCTACATAACTGCTGCATAACAGCTATAATGTAATCTGCACTTCGCTCATCATATCATTTTACTCCTGATTTGCTGTTTTCTGCGCGAGCACATAACGACTGAGCTCCTTTACGGGACAGTTCAGAAGCAGTGCTTTGCTTGCTTTAGTGGCTGCCATAAGATAGAGTGAGGTAACCAGATCTGCTGCTGATAAAAGAAGCTAAAATACTATTTAATCCGGTAGAAATTGACCTTAAAGAATGTCTGTGTGGCATTTAATCTCTTTCAGTGAGGAACAATTTATTTCTGTCATTTTGTTAATGTATTGCAAGAAATAAAACAAGTGTGCCGCCTGATGGGACAACCACACCCTGCCAGTCTGCCTCTAATTCTCATTTTGCTTTATAATTTCTTCAATGGGAACACCATCTGGCCTGCACTGTATAGAAGAGAGAGAGAGAGAAAAAAAAGAAAAGCCTGGTAGACGCCACCCTCCTCCGCCAACTTCCACCGCGAGTCCTACTTACTCTCCCTTCCTGCTAGGCCTCATAATATTGAGTTCACATGCAGCTAGCCTGCCCGGCACCAGTACCACCAGCCGTCGTTAGCTCTCTCTTTGCCTCCCATGAGTGCACATTTCACTAGTATCATATTTTTCCCCTTCAGTCTTTCAGTCTCTTTCGTTCAATTTTCCTCTTCCAATCCAGATGGGAGGCTTTCTTCCTCCGGCACATCATGGGTTCTTCTGATTACATCCAGAGGCCCAGGGGTGGAGGGGGGCTCAAAGAGAAAACTGGATGCTGTGACACTTGAGTACGATGAAGGACTTGCTGTGCTCAAATAAGTAATCAACCAGTCAGGGGTCAAGAAAGGAAACGTCTGAAATAAAAAGAAAGAGAATATATCATTGCGACTGCTTTAAATGTGTCCGCATACTTTTTTAGGGAGAGAGTTCACTTTTATTTATTTAGTTATATCTGTAAGATGATTTTACATAATTGTTGTAAACAACTGTGGCATGACTGCAGATAAGTAGAAGAGTACCAAATGCTAGTTCAAATCTTTCTTTTGGATACTTTTAACTCCGCTGTCCCACTGCCATCACGCCGTGTGACCTTTCTGCCCGTATCATGGGGCTTATATCCAGGGCAAGGACACCTTTTCATGGATGTGTAGTGGCAGATGACTGCACAGCAGTATAAAATGTATCATTGTGTAATGATTGACGGAGAGCACAGGACACAGTTCAGCATGTAGCACATTCACAACTTCTCAGGAAGAGGGAGATACTGTGGAAACCAACCAGTCCTTCAATCCGCTCCTATCTAATCTGTCATCGTGGCTTTGCTAAGTGTAACCGTTCTCCAAGTAGTTGCAAGTTTCTGTGGAGATTGTCAGAGTTTATAATATCCTTAGAGGCCATTTCAACAAAGATCTTTATTGG